CAAAAGAAAGGATTGTTTCAGGCAGGGTCACCTTCCCTTAAGGGGAGGAGCAGGGATCTTATCCCCAGATTCCCTCCTCTTCCTTGGGCGGAGGGAGAGGGCCCCTGAAACAGGTTACCTCCTTGGTTCCCATCAGAACATTCCTCGCTGGGTGGTTAGGACTGCATTTGTAGGGGAGGTTGGAACTGCAGTTAGGTTAGGGATGAAGTCCTGGCATGGGGATTTGGCTTGTGGGCTGGGGGTTTTGTTTTCGCTTTTAGTTTTTTTAAGATTTTATTTATTTGAGAGCGAGAGCGAGAGCGAGAGAGAGAGAGAGGCATGAGAGGAGAGGTCAGCGGGACAAGCAGACTCCTACAAGGAGCCTGATGTGGGACCTGATCCTGGGACTCCAAGATCATGACCTGAGCCAAAGGCAGTTGCTTAACCCACTGAGCCACCCAAGCGCCCGGGGGCTTTCTTTTTGACAGGATTGTAGATGGTCTCATCTGCCGACTTCCCCAGAGATTCCATAGCTTGGAATCTGTTCCACAAAGCAGTGACGCCAAGGGGTGACAGCGACTGTCATTGCCCTGCAGGGGGGCTTCTGATACCCCCTTTTATATAAATGTTCACGTGGACTTCCTGAGATCATGCAGAAGCAGATGTTCCTTTAAATGAAGACCAGCTTCCTTGAGATGCTCCTGAAACATGCATTTTCTAGTCCCTTTCGAAGGGGTCTGTTCAATGTGGGAGTCACATTTCCACCTGCTTGGTATTCACCTGCTGCCGTCTGGCTTTGAACGTCCCACACCTCGGTGACACAGACACCAAGCCTGCACTGCTCTGTCCTGCCCTAGAACAAGGGGACACAGGCACCGGGAAATCATTCCTGTCTTCTTTTTCCCATTCCTTTGGGGAAGCCTTGCACCACCGCTGTTTTTCAGCCAAGCCCAGCTGTCATTGGAAAGGCTGCCGGTGTGGCTCGCGTGCCACTCCTAGACAGTTGCGAGGCTGTTCCTTCCCCGATCTTACTGGACACAGAAGCATGAGTTAAAGCAATACATGTATGAATCATCAGGAACACATCCAGAAAGGATCTTTATGTATTAAACAAACAGAAAAGGTAGGGCGGGAGCAGGACCCTTTCCTCCCCCTTGGGCCCGTCAGCCATTCCTTCCAACACTTGGGTACAGGCTGGGCTGTTTCCCTCCCGAGGGCTCTTGGCTTCATCTCTGTGGCCCTCTCAGGGGACATCAGACTGGGCTGGATGGGGAGGCAGAGCTGGGAAAGGGAGGCTAGAGCCACAGTGGCAGCCCATCCCCTCCCCCACCTTGTTCCACTGGCTTCTTCCTCCCTCCCCTGCTCAGCCATGGGTGGGGGTGGGGGGTGGGGGGGTTGGTGTGCAGAAGGAGCTGGAAGCTTCCGGGAAATAATGCACCAAGAGAATGGGTGTGGTGACCCCAGGTGTTCACAGGTACAGGTACACCGCACACTGAGTAGTGTGGGGCGGGTGATGACTCCATCGGAATCACTGAAAAAATGAGACATCGCAGTAAATCCCTGTGAAGACTTGCTCTCAGACTCTGCAGGCTCATCGCGCAGACTAGCCAGCGGGGAGCGGGTAGGATCACTCGCGGAACACCTGCGTTCCGGGGTTGTCTCCGCCCCCCCCCCACCCAGGCCACGTTGTCCCTGTTGAGTTACTTATTAGCGGAATTACTGTAAGGTGCGGGACAGACAGAAGCTATTCCTGTTTTCCTCCCTTTAGCACTAGATCAGTGGTTCCCACACTTTTCAGTTTCCCAGGCCAGGAAAATTGTTCACTTTGTCTCCTTGGATTGCTCGGAGCGCCCCTGGAAGAGACAGGCGTCATCTGTAATAGGCAGTGAATGATTTCGCAGGGTGACAGGTGCTCCTGGGCTGTTTGGAAAACCCTTCAAGGGTGGTTTCCTTGAACTCTCCAAAGACGGGAGCTATCCCTCAAGATAGTTAGTGGTTCTATCCGGATGCCATGAGAGGCTTACACACACACACACACACACACACAGCGCAAAGGGAAGTTCTAGGTTACATTTGAGGTGGGGAGGCTCCCTGAGTCCCCCATGAGGACAGGCGGGCCGGGCTGTGGCCCTCCCCTGGCTTGCGGGGCCTGGCGGACCAGCCACGAGCCCTTCGCTAGTGCCCTTCTTCTTCCCAAGTCAGCACCAGGAATAGGGACTTCAGTGGGACTGCAGGGTGAATCCAGCACATTCCAAGAAGCTAGGAGCAGCCCCCTTCGTGCGGCCCAGGAGGCTGAGCCCAGCTAGAAGGCCCCACGGTGGCTACTCTGAGTTGGGGCCTCTGGTGCGGGCAGGGCACAGCAACAAGGAGGGAGGGATCTGTCTCCGGTGCCTTCATCTCTCTCTTCCCAGCCTGCCCTCTTGCCGGGCCCCACGTCCACCGAGGAAGCGCTAGGAACAGACATCTATAGGGCAGATCTGACGCTCCGACAGCTCGATCCCACGGATCAGCGGACAAGTGCGGCGCCCGCACCCTCCTGAGTGAGGGAGAGTGTGCATCGTAGGCCGCTGCCTCTGCGGAAGGACATTTTCAAACACAGAAAAGAAAAAAGGGGAAGAGAAACACAAGGTCAAATATTTCATTCATCAGTTAGGTCCCAGCCTTGGGCATAAGCAAAATTGCCTTGTCACCTTGCTGTCGGGCCATCCCCGGGGAGGCTTAAGCGAGGCACCTGGCAGGGAGGGAGCCTGCCATCTGGGTCAGATCACTCCATCCGCCAGCCTGGGCACCGTGCTGCCTGCCGGGCTGCCTCATCAGGCTGGCCCAGGGCAGGCTCCGCAGCGGGCAGCCACCCTCCCCCGACCCCATCTCTCCCCCTCCCCCTCTCGCCCACTCAGTGGGCCCATCCTGTTGACAGTTCACTCAGGGTGGGAGGTGGACAGCCCAGAAGGCCCTGCTCGTGGCCCCTGGGACCCTCCCTGGGGGGCATCTGCGGGATGGGGGCATGATTTCCCCAGCGGCTCCAGCAGGCCCCGGGACAGGACTCTGTGTCTTCGGCTGGGACAGAGCAGAAGGTCCACAGACGTCCCTCGGATGAACCCTAAATGAACTTCCTTCCCCTCTGGGTTTGAAAGAGGCCGTGTCTCCTGGACTTCAGAACACAAAAGGCAATTCATCTTCTTCGGACAGATCTTTGCCGGAGTGCTTGAGAAATGGGACCCCTTCCTCCCCAGCTTCTAACATTTTTCTCTTTAGAGTAGAATGTGTTTGCTTTATAAAAGGTGCTGGAAACAACACGGGTTTGGGGACCTATGCCCTCTGGGCTCAAACCCGGGCTCTGCCACTTCCTCACTCGCGTGGCCTCGGACAAGTGACTCAGCCTCTCTGAAGTCAGCTTCCTCACTCTGAAAATGGGATGATGCCATCCTCTGCGTGTTGCCCTGAAAATGGAGCGAGGCCACCCAGCCGAGCGCCTCCTGCAGCATCCATCTGCTGGCACACAGCCCGCCAGGTGCCCAGCCACACCCAGGCCCTCCCAGGGACCCACCCCACAGGGATGCGTGCCGTGAGGCCCTTCATAGAGGGCTGGCTGCAGACTGGCGCCTGTCCTGTGCCAGTCACTCCTGCCAGGGGAGGCTGACGCGCGGTCCAGTCTGCAGACTCAGAAGCTGCTCTCCCAGCCCTTGCAAGCTGTGCTTTGGGAGTTCCTACAGATTTGCGGGACTGTTGCTTTCCTCCCCGCGAAGGCATCATGAACCACGTCTCAGCTTACGAATGGTCTGGTTGGTAGAATTTAAGGTCTCTAATGGGGCGGGGAGGGGGGCGGTGGCTAGCTGGGGCAGGGCCTGGCTCTGGTCCCAGGTGACCTTTGGCAGGGTGCATGCGCGCCCCACAGACACTCCGGGCACGACAGGAAACCAGCCCGAAGCTCTCCGCGTCTCCCGATTGTGGAAATGACTAGGGCCCTGTAAACGTAGCCAAGGAGATGGTCAGATGTCCTCACAGACCCCCACTGCCGAGGGCACGGAGCCAAATCTTAAAAGCATTTTGCAGAGAGGGGATTCTCGGAACGCCTTCCCTGGAGGGCCGCTGGGGGAAGCTGCACCTCTGTAGTCCCAGGTCCTCTGACCGAGTCCAGGGTCGTCCGTCCCAGCCCTCCACGCCCAGGGCTATCCCGGACCAGAGCCCAACGTGATAATTCAAACAATAATAATAACTACACATCATGAAAAAGGAGCTTCTCTACCAAGTCAGAGACAAACTACAAACTTTTGGAAACTCCTCCTCTCCTCTTCTACAAATTTAAGATAATTACTTGGAAATCAGTATTGAAGTATTTGTCCCAATTTTTGTTGTTGTTAACCCTTTTTAAAAATCCCTAAGAATTCCAGGCTTAACGGTAATGATCAATGTCTAGTAGTAATGTGTTTGTTTATGGATAGGAAACATACACGACACTCGACATATGTATGAATTTTTAAAAACGTGGCATCAGGGGTGGCTGGGTGGCTCAATGGGTTAAGCTTCTGCCTTCAGCCCAGGTCATGATCCCAGGATCCAGCAGGGAGCCTGCTTCCTCCTCTCTCTGCCTGCCTCTCTGCCTGCTTGTGATCTCTGTCTGTCAAATATATAAATAAAATCTTAAAAAAAAAAACAACGTGGCATCATCACAGCACGTCCTGGTTTGGTGGGGAAAGACGTCGAAATACTCCCATCCTGGATGCAGAGATTGGGTGACTGGGCGGGATCTCCCAGCAAGCAATGTTTGTCTGCATGAAAAGCATTTTGGGAATGATTTTTACATTAAGGAAAAAATGGAACCATGGAACCTTATTGCTGGGTCCTGTGCTCTCACACCCAGTTATTCTAGAACATTCTGAAGAAAAATTTGGAAACCCAGCTCTTGCTGTTTTTTCCCTGCCACTGTGGGACTCACCTGGTCCAAGGTTCAGAGTGATGCCTTCTAGAGAATTCCAGGCAGTCGGCTGTCTCTGGTGGGTCTCTGGTGGGTTGATGTGAAGATGGTCTCCTACAGGGGGCAGGGTGAGAGCCCAGCTCGGGAACAGGGGCCAGGACCCATGGATCCCACCCCTGCATTGAGACCCGAGCCCCTACTCCCCTCACCTGCTCACAGAAGCTGAATTCAAAGCAGCGTGTTTCCCTTTTAGGAGTGGTTAAAGCAGCGAGCAGCTGCCGTGAGTGTTGGAACTCACCATGTCTTCGAAGGTTTGATGGTGAGGAGAGTCATTTCTGGGCAGCAGGGAGATGGGGTGGCGGAAGGAGCACCCTGGGAGCAGGGAGTGTCGCCAGCTGGGGCCGTGAATGACTGGGTCCTCCACGCAAGGTATGAACGGGCCTGGGCACAGGGGGCAGTGGCTGGGAGCAGAGGCAGAAGGAGCCTGGTCTTTTCCTAGATTGTAAATGTCTAAGTTTCTATCACGTATGTGTTGGCCAACAGCATTTTCCTACAAGCCCGTGCCATTCCTCATTACCCCTCAATTTGCTTCCACCCAGAAGGAATGCAGAATCTCTGTGTTTACATTCCCCTTGCAGAAACTTCCAGCAGTGTGACGAATTCCAAACCAGGCTGGTTGCTAGTTTACAGTTTGCTGCAAGCCTCCAAATGAGCCGGTGGGTGAGCGTGCCTGGGAGACACGGTGGTGGAGTGAGACAGGTTCCACCGGTCGCACGGGGCGGGCTCTCTGGTAACCGCCAACACGTGTCACCTTGCCTGCCCAGGGAGCCGCAGAGCCCCAGGTATCTAGTTATCCCTGTTATTCTGGCACGGGGGCCCGCAGCACTTGAATTATTCAGCTGCATGGATTTGGCGACAGATCAGAAAACAATGAGGTGTTTCTTGCAAATGAGAAGAGATTTCTGCAAGAAGGAGAGCATGGCCCACCCCCAAGCCCCGCCATTGAACTAGCGTCATGTGACCAGGTAGCTCGCAGGATCGCTCTGCTCCCACTTTCTGATATGCGACTTGCCAAGTAAGGTCTCGTCCCCCACCCCTACCCCAGCTCACCTGGGCACTCTCTGCCAGCTTCCTGTTCTGTTTCCCACAAGGGCTCTCAGACTAGCTGCCTCCCAGTCCCTTCCTCTTTTTCAAAGAAAGTCAGGCCCCTTGGGTGTAAACTCCTTTGTCCTACTGCTGCTCCCTGCCCGCAACTTCAAACTCGCCTTCCTCTCTCTCTCCTGGCCTCCCACCGCTAAGCAAGAAATATTGCCTTTTCCTCCCTGCCGTGCACCAGGCCTAGTTTAAACTTTTCTTGCACCCTTGGGATCACCTTCTAGCTGGTTTGTCCACCCCCTCCCCCTTCCTTCCAACCTGGTTTCCACCTGCTGCTGGAAGTGATATTTGTAAAATTCTTTTTTTTTTCACTCTGTGCTTAAGAGAGCTTGTTCCTTCTCCTTTTCCATGGCACAATCCACTATCCATCCTCTGGAGGCCTCAGTTGCAGCTTCTGCCCACCTCCCGATTACCTTCAACTCTCATACCCACTTGCCCTCTCTGCCTCAGGGCCTTTGCGCGCACACACACACACACACACACACAAATGCGCACACGCATATATATTTTCATATACCCTTGTACTGACCTCCCCCCTTCTGGGAGGTGCCTCCCTCCTGTCTTTAGCATCTGTGGTTCTCTTTGCTCTACTGTTCCCAGGGCCTTTGCATAGTAAGTGTCCAAAATGGCACCATCCTGTGAACCAGATCTAGGTTCCTAATCCCTGATCTGCCAAAGCAGCCTGTCTCCTTAGCAAACTCCCCTCTGGACCAGTTTCCAAGGTTTTTCTTCCCCAGCATAGTGGCAGGGAGGGGCTGAGGTGGAACCGGGGAGGACCCCTCATGTGGCCACACCAAGGCCAGCATCCCCACTGATTTTTTTTTTTTAAAGATTTTATTTATTTATTTGACAGACAGAGATCACAAGTAGGCAGAGAGGCAGGCAGAGAGAGAGAGAGAGAGGAAGGGAAGCAGGCTCCCTGCTGAGCAGAGAGCCCGATGCGGGACTCGATCCCAGGACCCTGAGATCATGACCTGAGCCATAGGCAGCGGCTTAACCCACTGAGCCACCCAGGCACCCCCACTGATGTTATCAAGGAGGCTGGTGCCCCCGGAATGCTGGGGGAGAGAAGGCTAAGCGCTGGGGGTTCAGCCAAGCCAACTCAAGGTCAAATCCGTCTCCTAACAGCTGCAGAAAATACATGAGAATCACTATTTTGTGATTCAGGCCTTTCATCCGCCTTGGAGAATCTCGGGCTAGTGTTTTCTGGGATTTCCTACTAATAGGAGTTGAGTCTGCAAGGTGAGGGGCGCGGAAGTCATGCCTCACAGGCACACACACACACACACGTGCACAAAATTCTTAACAAATAACACATCCCTGCAGAGTTGGGGTGTTTTTCCTAAGACCCTCCTTGGGCGGGAGCACGCAGCCCCCGAGGCGAGGCTCCAGGACCTCCAGACCTCAGGGTGCAAGTTGTGGATTTCTAGGGACTTTCCAAGTACGTTAAAGCCAAACAGTGTCTCGTTGTTGGGCAGATGGTGACCCTAGAAATCATCCTTCCACGCGCACAGGCGCGCACTAAAGCCAAGCCAGCCGGCCGCACCGCAGGCCTGGGGTCCAGCTACCTGGAAAGCCCCGCTGGGGGAAGCCGGTCTCCACGCCTCCGTCCCCGCCACGGCGGGCGACAGTCGCCAGAGTGCCGAGCGGCGCGCGCACGTGGCGGGGCGGGGACTGGCAGGGGCGCGGGGCCGCGGGGCCTTTAAGGGGCCGGGGGTGGGGGGGGGGGGGGGGGGGCGGGCCGGGGGGGGGACGCGGCCGGGAGGGCCCGGGCGCTGGGGCGGTGTTGGCCCCGCAGGCCCCGCCTCCGCCCCAGGCCCCGCCCCCACCCCGCCCCGGCCCGAGCCTCCTCAGGCCACTGCTGGGCCGCGGGCGGGACGCCCCGGGCGGCGCGCGGAGGAGGAAGCGCGCTGGCTGCGACCCGGGACCTGCCCAGACGCGCTAGTCGGGATCGCCCAGCGCAGCGTCCCCATTTTCCAGGCGTGCGGGGCCGGGGCGCAGTCCCGGGCAGCGGCCGTCGTGCGCCGGCCGGCATTTCCCCTCCAGCTCGCCCCGCGCGGCCGCCCGGCCTCCGGGCCCTCGCCGCCAGCAGCCGACCCAGATCCGCCGCGCCCCCCTCCACGCCCCCCGCGAGCCGGGCGGGCCGCGCGCTCATGTCCTGAGCTCGCCGCCCGCGGGCTCTGCGCCCCCGGCCGGGGGGCTCCCCTGGCAAGTTGGGGCGAGGCGCGCCGGGTATGCGCCATCACCATGTCCCGCCTGAGCTCGTGGCTCGGGGAGGTCCAGTGGCTGGTCTTGGTGTCGCTCTTCGTTGTGGCCCTGGGCACGGTGGGCCTGTACCTGGCACAGTGGGCGCTGGCCAGGGCGCGACCCCGGCCCCCGCGGCGGGCTGCCGAGCCTGGAGAGGGCCCGCGCCCCGAGTCCGACGCGCTGCTCGCCTGGATCCTGACGCTGAACAGCTGGAGGAGCCAGTGGCAGGCCGCCTGGGTGACCGCCCTGAATGATGAGGCCAAACGGAAAGTGGTGAGTGTCTGAGGGCGGGTCGTAGCTGCGAGGCTGATGGCTCGGTGCCGGTAGGGCAGAGCTCGTCCTGGAGCCTCGCCAGGGCCCCGGACCCGTGGAAGTGAGCCTTCCCCGTGGCAGAGCGTTCCTGAAAGTTGGGAGAAGGACCCCGGGGGAGCCGAGGACCCTTGATGGGGAATCAAGACAAAGCTTAGATGGTATTCACCGCCCATCAGGTGTGCCAGGCTGCGGTCTCCATGGCAGGGACACGTGGGACCTGGAGGGACTTGTCAGGGGGGCCCACTGCCCTTCCTGGAGTCCCAGGTGGGTCCCCGTACCCAGCTGGACACTTTCTGCTCCCGCACCTGATCGATGAATAACCGTGACCCAAATATGATTCCATCTACAGAAATGAATTTTTTCCAGAATGTTTCCAAAAGGTTTGCACCCCTTGGCTTATAGAGGTAGTGGCTTTCGTTGAGGGCCGAGCACCTGCCAGATGTTGTCTTGGGGACTTGCGGTGCATAGATCTTCTCTTTGGACCCTCACAATTCCTGGGGCAGAGGTGTCATCCACATTTCACAGGTGGGGGGACTGAGGCCTAGACAGGTTAGCTGACCTGCCCAAGGTCACATGGCCTGAGGGTAGCAGAGCCGGCTCTGAACTCCGCTGCCTCCTGCCTTCAGGCTGGGGGGCTCACTGCCTCGCTCTGCTGCCGCAGTCTGCTGAGGTGGTTTCTTCCACAGTTCGTCCCTTGGTGACTTGTTTTTACTTTTAAGACCTCTTCATTTCATGACAAGCTCCTGATATCTGCAATATCTGGGCATTCCCGAAAGGGATGAAGGCCTGGTGTGTTTGGGGAAGTCCCCGCCCGCCGCGGCTCATCACCTTTGCCTTCGCGTGCCTCCACATGCCTGCGAGGCTCCGTGGAGAAGCCTGTGGCCATTTGCTTTAAAAGTATGTCTGGGGACGCCTGGGTGGCTCAGTTGGTTAAGCAGCTGCCTTTGGCTCAGGTCATGATCCCAGCATCCTGGGATCGAGTCCCACATTGGGCTCCTTGCTCAGCAGGGAGCCTGCTTCTCCCTCTGCCTCTGCCTGCCATTCTGTCTGCCTGTGCTTGCTCTCTCTCCCTCTCTCTCTCTCTGACAAAAAAAAAAAAAAGTAAGTCTGGAGGAGGCGCCTGGGGGGCTCAGTGGGTAAAGCCTCTGCCTTCGGCTCAGGTCATGGTCTCACGGTCCTGGGATCGAGCCCCGCATCGGGCTCTCTGCTCAGCAGGGAGTCTGCTTTCTCCTCTCTCTCTGCCTGCCTCTCTGCCTGCTTGTGATCTCTGTCTGTCAAATAAATAAATAAAATATTAAAAAAAAAAAAAGGCACGTCTGGACCCCTGGCCCTCAGAAGTACTCCGTAGCCAGCCCGCTGCTGGTCTTTGCGCCATGGTCTTGACTCACATGGCCATGGATTGAAAAAAACAAAGTCTTTGAGTGTCAGTGAGTATAAAATCAGCACAAAAGACCGTATTCTGAACTATTGAAAAAATTCACTATACCTTTTGGGTGAAAAGAGTCTTCAGGGGCAGTTGACTGCCATCCATCTTGATGCCCAGAGTCTGTGCCCAGCTGTCCAGAGTGGGACATGTCCCATTCAGGGAAACCGCCCAAGCCCCTCTTTGAAGCCCCAGCGTGGGGCTCGAATTCACAACCCGGAGATCAAGCGTCGCATGCTCTACCCAGTGAGCCAGCCAGGCGCCCCGGAACCACCCCATCTCTAGGGGGAGACCTAAAGCCAGGGGACCTCACACATGTGAGCAAACACAGATTGGTTTCCCCAGGAAGCTCCCTAGCTGACCTGGTGTCACGGGCCTGGGCTCTGTGGCTGAGTTTCCTTTGGGCTGGTGGTGTGAACAGGTGGGAGCCTCGTCCCAGTTCTCCGCGGGGTTGGAGCAAGGACGGGCGGAGGGATCTGTAGAAGCGTTCGCGGCCAGCTGTAGCGTAGTCCTGCTCTCATCGTGTTGCTTCGCGCCCCCGACATTTCTTGATCGGCTTCAGAAAACAGGATTGCCTTAGGGTGCTTCCCGATGACCCATCCGCCTGGCATGCTGAGGAAGAAAGGAGGAACGCTGTGCCCTGGAATTTGTCTTTGCTCAGTCCGGTAAAGCGGAGAACACCAAAAAGATGCCTGGAGCTTTTGCCCAAATCATCTGCCTCTTTGTGTGGGAGCAGGAGGGACTGTGTGTTCGGGGAGACGGAGACTGGCTCGTGTGCTCTCTCCTCTCCTTGCTGCTGACCCTGCCCTGTAGTCTCGGACGTCAGTCGTCCCAGACTCCTGCCTGGAAGGGGTAATAAGGGCCGCGCGTCGCGCTGAAAATGTGCCGAGTCTTCTCTCATGGTTTTGAGAGGACGCAGGCTGGTTGTGATTGTGTTGCCCGGGTGGAGACTGGTTGTGTGTGTGTGTGTGTGTGTGTGTGTGCGCGCGCGCGCGTGTGGCATCCCTCTTCCCTCCCCGATGCCCGGAAGTGTTGCTTGATTTGTAATCAAATGACAGGTTTTGCAGACAGATAGGATCTGGGTAGGTGACTCGGCATAGTCTGTCCTGTCTCGGGCCACCTCTGTCGCCACACTGGGTGAGGTGGCGTGAGTGGGTGTCCCAGCCCCGGCCGCCAGCCCTGCGGGAGTTTCTCTTTGTCGTCCTCCAGCTCCATTCCCAATGACTCCCACTAATCCCCGATTAGGGTTGACCCTCCGGGCCTGCTCGCCTCTGGAGAGCAAAAGCTTAGTGGCTCTTGCCCGCCTGCCCCTGCCCTGCCCTGGGAGACGGGACCTCCTCCCAAATGAAGCCCTGCTCTGGCCTTGAATTTTAAGACTGGAAGGACCCTGAAACTCCTGTACAAACATCTGTTGTCACATTCCCCCGTGGACGGCAAGTTCAACTTTGAGACCCAAATGCTGCGTTCATTGAGACGCAGCGGGAAGGGGTGAGAGGGCGCTGTTGTTGAACCTGCCGTCCTAGCAACGGGGCTGGCGTCTCCAGGCATCTGACGGCTGATAGATAACGGGCGCTCTCCTTTGACCCTGGCTGACCATTGACCCTGGCAGTGTAGGCTGCCTGGGTCAGACGGGCCGCTGGGGCTCCAGCCCTCACTGCAGAAGCCTTTGTAAACTAGACAGGGTGATGATGTGGGGAGGGACGAGGGGAAACCATTGTTGCTGTGCCGAAGCCTTTGTAAACTAGACAGGGTGGTGATGTGGGGAGGGACGAGGGGAAACCATTGTTGCTGTGCCGGCCGGTCAGGCTGATGTCAGGTGTGCCGGGAGCCCAGGCGAGCTGCCCAGAGAGCCTCGAGAAAATCCGCACGCTCCCCGACTGCCCGTTCGGACGCGGTAGGTTGGCAGAGCGTAGGGACCATGCCGTGGTCTTCACACGCTTCCCGAGTAGCTTCTCACCCGTGAGAAGCCCCTTGGTGCACACCTGTCCCTCCCCCAGCCACCAGTCTAGCAGGGTCCCTCCCACCCTGTGACATCTCTGCTCTGGTGTCATGGACACTGAATTCCCGTTCACCTGGTGGCCGGTTCAGACACAGAGAATGGAGCGCTCCCAGGGCTGCCCCAGTCACCAGCCTGGACGTGCCCCCTTCCTTTGGTGATCGTTGGTTACCCCAGCCATGGCGCCCCCCCAACACCCACCTGGAAGGCTCTGGAAGCCAGGGTGCTTGTGGACAGGCAGCCCCTCTCGGGGCTGAGGCTGCTGGGCCACCTGTGGGGAGCACTAGCCACAGGGCGGGGGCTGTGTCCTGTGGCTGGGGCTTCGGACCATCTAGAAAAGGCCCGCCCAGCTCTGCAGAGGACCTCAGTTAGGAGGGTCACCAGAGCTATTTGTTGCTTTAGTCATTTGCCCGAGGATTTTTTCAGAGGAATGTTCTCAATGCAAATGACCAAGACCGTGGGACCATTTGTGGTCTTCGTAAAAAAAAAAAGACGCCGTGTGAACTTAAAATGTATTATTAATAGCTCTGACTTTTATATGAGCTTTGACATTTTCAAAAGTAAACATAGCGACAAGACTTCACAGTTTTCCTATCTCACCGCGAGCTCTGAGTGACGCTCACAAAGATCTGAGCTCCTTGAGCAGCGTCAGGGGCCACGACACAGGAGGTCAGTCGGTAAGAGCATGAAGGTGACATTGGGTCAGGGCTGTGGACCTGCCCCACCCCCTAACGGATAGCCTGTCTGCTGCTCAAACATTCAGGGCTCTCTCCCATGTGGGGCCTGCGCCTAGATCATTCCTTCCGTCTTGAACACTTAATTAACCTTCCTCCTTCTTTGACTTCTGTAAACCTTCTGGTCTCAGTGCAGAGGTCCCCCCGCCATCCTCCCATCCAAGAGGATGCTGTCCCCCAGCCCCCGGCCACCTGTCCTGGTCCCCGTACCTTGTGTCCTCAACAGCTCCTGGGATCGGGGGCCAGCCCAGAACCCCGTCTGTCCAGGCGCAGCCTCCTTGGTGCCCAGTGCGAGGCTGGCTTGGAGCCGGCGGTGGCCAGGGGCTGAATGACAGGCCCTGGCAGGAACTTGTCACCAGACGGGGAGGAATGGTGACGATGTGGATCACCCCATCTGGACATAGGCCTTCCCTGCTTGGGAGCCGGCCAAGCCTGGGCATGACGAGCTGTTTAAGGTGCTTTGTTTTTCCCTTCTAAAGAATCAACAGTCAAGGAGGCTCCCTGATGACTTTGCAAATTGCCCATATGAAAACCCGGATCTCAGCTCCATGCCCTCACCCATTCTCCCGAAGAGACAGGAATCGAGGGGAAGGAAGAGTGGGTGTAGTGTTAACGTCGACGAAAATGCAGCCAAAGCTAACTTCCATTCCCATCGGCCAGGTCGTGGGCTGCTGAGGAGGGAGGGGACTTCTCACACGCAGCTCACAGCTCGGTAGAGCAGCGTTTGCACCGCCGCAGCTGGGAGGCACCTCTGTGTGACCTTGGGCGAGCCCTGACCTCTCTGTGCTTCATCTGCAGAAAGACGGTGCCTTTGGGATCAGTCTGGAAAACCGAATCTGCTGGGAGGGGGTTGAGGTCTGTGTGGGGGGTATTAGCAAGTAGCCAATAAAGGTGGGCTGTTTTCTTGTAAAGTCTCCCTTAAAAAAAAAAAAAAAAAGAAATTAAAAAAAAAAAAACCAACTTTTTATTTTTTTATTGCTTTTAGATACATAGAAAAGTTGCAAAAATAATTCAGAGTTTCCATACATTCCTCACCCAGCCTTACAGAACCGCAGCCAAGACATTAACGTGGGCACAATGTTACCGCACTTCCCGGTGCGGTGATATTAACAACGTGACAGTGTAAGAAACTAACAGTTGGCACAAAGCCTTGGAACTGAAGGCCTGACTTGAAGTTCACCTGGTCTGCCAGTGTCCTTGTATCCTTCCCGGATCCCAGCAGGTCCCGCAGGCACGGAGCTGGGGCTTCTCCGGGTCGTGCGAAGTCTTGGCATAGTTCCCTAGTCTTTCCTTGTGTTTCACAACCTTGACAGCTTGGAAGAGGACTGGTGGTTATTTTGCCAAACGTCCCTCAATTTGGTGTTTACACAGGGTTGGACTGTGGTTATACAAACCACAGAAATGATGTGCCCCTATTAATGTCCCGTAGCATGGGCTTTGTGAGGTCAGAGTAGTCACGGCAGAGGCCTTGGCCTTGATCCCCTGGTGAGGATGGTGTCTGCTGGGTTTTCTTCCATATACCTGTGTCTCTTCTTCTGTCCTCCCCTTGGTGGTGAACAGCTCTCCTGGGGAACTCCTTTGAGACTGTTACAAATCTGCTACTTGTCAATCTTCTGCTGATTGATTTTGGCCCCATCGTGTATCTGGTCTGCTGGACGATGGTTCTGTTTCCTTCTCTCCCACATGGATTCCTTGCAATTCTCCTTCGAGAAAGAGCTACCACTTCTCTTCCCTGACCTTGATGACTTGTGTCCGTGTGGACTCTCGGGAATTGTTTTATTCTGTGGTCTATAATCTGACACCACGGCCACTTGCGTGGTTGGTGGAATTGCTCTTGTGTTGGCCTGTAGGGCCTTTCACGGTAGCCTCCTGTGTTCTGCCTTCAAGATACACAAACAGACATCGACTTAGCACTTCCCTTCTTCATGATCCCACAAGATGTTTGTTCTAGACTCATCTCGTATTTTTCATTCTCCGCTCTTCCTGCCCGGGTTCAGCCACTTCGTGGAGCAGCGCTGATGCCTTTTACTGGAGAAGTGTTTGGAAGCCAAGGTCTGGGCATCCGACGTGCCTATTACTGTCAGGGTCTCATGGCTTCTAGACCCTTCTGGTGGACAGACGTAGGAGGTGTGGCTGTGTCTGCCAGCAGCTCACAGGCTCATTTCTGTTGTTCTGTCCCTTTCTGTCTGTCCGGAGGCTGGTTCTGGTGTTCTGGTTCATGTTCTGGTTCAGCAGCAGAATTCCGTCCACTTTCCTCATTTGTATCCTCCCTGTCCAAGAGGCAGGCGTCTGGTCCTTCCTGTCTCTGACATACTCACTTATTCGGTCAGTTCTCTGAGACACATACAGCAGTTTCTGCCTTGCTAACCTGCTCCCCTGTGAGACACAGGCTGACGGACCAGGGTACGCATTTATGCAGTCAGGATGTCGTCTTCCGGAGCTCCTCCGGTTAGATCTGTGTTTTCCCACCCTTCGGGGAGTGATGGCATCATGGGTAATGCGCTTAGTTTCATTTGTTTGTTTGTATTTCTTCAGGGTTCCTCCCACATCCTGATTTTTTTAATCCATTTTTTTTAATCCAATGATTTGGGATGCCACGTTTGTTATCCACGATGTTTCTCTTTGTGGATCTGGTCCACTGGGTCGTCTGTGTCCACGCACCTGTTCTGCACATGGGGTGATGGGGGTTCTGCGGTCTTGGATGGGGGAGGGCTCATCCTCCTCTTCGTGTGCTTTTCTTTTCTTGGTGCTTTCCCAGCGACTGTGTGCGTAAAGTCCTGCTCTGGGCTAAAGTGAGGTGGCATCCGCACTTGGACAGAGTGTGACAGGTGTAGCAGCACAAGCTTGTGTCCCATCTGAGCCCTGGGTTTCCTGCAACCCAAAGACCAGGCCCTTTGGAAGGGACCCAGGGAAACTCTGGGTCTTTATTTTAATCTAAAAATTCATTTCCTCGGGGTACCCAGTCCTTGACGTTCAGTGTTCCAGCAGAATCTTTTCTGGGTTTTAGCTTAGAAGGTGTCAGAGGGAGGAGCGTCGAGAGTGTATCCACCCATCCTCGGGTGGGTGTGGGGGGGTGGGGGTTGGTGTGGGGTGCTTGAGGCGCGCGCCACCCACAGCGGCTCCTCCAGGCAGCCCAGGCAGCTGAGACCACCCCTGCCCGCCCCTGCCCAGTACGGCCTCCCACCCTTCCCCTCCCCGAGCCCGAGGCACGCCCCTGCCCCAGGCCGGCCACTCACACTGCTCCAGCCGAGGACAGTGTCTGTGCAGCAGGCCGGACGGTGACCTCATCCCTCTTGAGAAGTAGATTTAATTCCTCCCTGATGATTTTTAGGGGGTGACATAGATGTTAAAGCTGGGCGCGGTTGGACGCGTCTAAGTGACAATGTTCTGGGTCTTTTCGGTTCACTCTGGGTCATCGGGAATTCTTAAGAAAAAGCCTCAGGGTAACTCCACGGCTTGCCAAAAGAGCTTTGGTGCCATTTCGTACCATTTTATTCTCCTGCCCTCTCGGTCGTGGCTTGTAGTTGCTGAGTGGACCCAGGAGACCTTGGGTGGTGGGAGCCCGGCAGCCATGAAGGTCTGTGAAGCCGGGGCTCGAGAACCTGCTCCTGGGGCACAGCCAGCAGCTGGTGGATCTTTAGGAGAGGTGGCCGGCCCCTGGGGGGGTGCACCATGTGGAGCAGGGAGAGGTGACCCTAAAACCAGAGAGAGAGCTGGCTTTTCGCAGAAGAAGCAGAGGACAGAGCCCTTGACCTTGCTGGGCTCGGCCAGATAGCGCGGTGGACCCGCAGAGCCACACCCAGCACCCTGCCCCTTGTAAACGTGAGCTTTCAGAACCCCCTCTGCGGTCTTTACAGACACATCTCCGGTTTAGTCGTGTGTTCCTTGCTTCTGACCTGCTCTGGTAACTGATCCCAGCCCCGGGCGCGTTATGTCGTGTGCGGGTTCTCAGGTGCGGGGCTGTCATGCTATGTGAGCGCAGCTGCTGCTGGAGGCAGAGTTAACAGAAAGGGGTCAGATTCCCAGTTCCCAGGTTTCCAGAACTTTCTCCCTGGTGTATAATCATGCTGGTGTGCCCTCATCATGCCTTTCCTTCTGTTCTAGGGCCCGCTGCTCCTGTCCTTCGAGGAGGACCCGCTCCAGCAGCCTCTGGAGCTCGCAGTGCAGGGCGTCTCCAGCCTGGCCAGGTCCACCCAGGAGAAGGTGAGCTGGGCGCGGTCGCCCCCGGGGCCCTTTCCCACCGAGGAAGTGAATTTAAAGCTGAGCTGGGGGAAGCGGGGAGGTTATTCTGTTTTGGGATTATTGAAAATGTGTACACCTTAAAAACCTAAAAAAAAAAAAAACGAAAAACAAAATTAAGGGTGGTCTATAGCTGGTGGATGGGTAAATAAAATGTGGCAGGTCCACACGCTGGGATGGCATTTGGCCTTGAGAAGGAAGGAGAGGCCGGCACGTGCCATGTGCACGGCCCTTGAAGACACAGCGCGGAGTAGGAGAGGCCAGTCACGGAAGGCACGTCTTTGAGTGGCTTCGTTTACGTGGCCTGTCCAGGGCGGCTATGTTGATAGAGACAGGAAGGAGATTGAGGGTCGCCGAGCCCTGGGGTGAGGGGGCTGCCGAGGGACTGCCCGTGGTGGGGGTTGACTTTGGGGGGTGATGATAAGATTCTCAGAGTCGTGGATGATGGTTGTACAAGCCAGAAATGTGTTAACAACCATTGACTTGGGGGCGCGTGGGTGGCCCGGTCCGTTAAGGGTCCAACTCTCGATTTCAGCTCATGTCATGCTCTCAGGGTCCTGGGATCGAGCCCCGCTTCGGGCTCCGTGCTCAGCAGGGAGTCTGCTTGAGTTTCTCTCTCTCTCCCACAAATAAACATATAAATCTTAAAGAAAAAAACACTGAATTATACAGTTTAAATGGGCAAATTAAATGATACGTGAATTGTGTCCCCAGAAATGCATATATTTGTGTGTGTGTGTATATGAGACACTGGATGGTTTTTAAAGCTTTTATCTGAGAGAGAGGGCGAGAGAGGGAATGAGCAGTGGGGAGGGGCAGAGGGAGAGGGAGAAGGAGGTTCCCCACTGAGCAGAGAGCCCGATGCGGGGCTTGATCCCAGGACCCTGAATCATGACCTGAGCCGAAGGCAGAGGCTTTAAGCCACTGAGCCCCCCAGGCGCCCCTGACCCCTAGGTCCGAACCATCCAGATGCCATGTCGAGCTCGTTTTGGAGTCTGTGGTTATTCACAGGCTGGGATTACTTATTAGACTGGTCAAATACCGTGAATAATTTATAAGATTTTTTTAATGGAAAGTATCTGTAAAAACCCCTAAGAAACCTCCTCGGAAATACAAGGCTTGCCCTTGTACCTGTCTCCGTTTTGCTGTCAGGTCCCTTGTGCTAAAGGGCCCTTTAGCCGATGGGGGCGGGGGCGGGGAGGGAGGCACACCTGCTGGAGAAAGAAAGCACTCCCGTCCCGATCCCCGCCCCACGGATTCTCTCCCCGTCCCCACTCGCATAGCATTAGCCAGCTCTGGTTCCTTCACTTGAATTACAGCTCAGGGCCCTGGAGGGACCAGAGCTTCTGTCTTCATCCCCCACGGATGGACAGGGGAGCTGCCCTCTCTTTCCCAGCAGAGCAGTGAGGCTGCCGTGAACGCGCCTGCTTACTGTCCCCGCCTCTCAGGCACGAGCAGGGGAGTGGATCGGGGGCAGCCGTGGGCTGCGAGGCTGCAGGTGTGCCCGCTGCAGAGTGCCCAGCTGTCCCAGAATGGGTCAGCAGGGCACTGCTCCCCGCCCACTGGGCCCCAGCGGCCTAGGAGGGCTCTCCTTCCCCACCTCCTTGCCAATACTGGAGCCTTGTGCTGTGTTACTCCTGTAACAAGTGTGGGGACGTCTCTAGAAGGTATTGGGGTACGAGAGACCCTAGGCTGGTATAGCTCAGGATGTCGAGACCAGCAGGGCGCATTAGGGCTGGACGGGGCTGGGCCAGCAGGTGGCCCGGGGCTTCTACAATACTGGGGGGGCGAGGGCAGTTGGCACCCCACCCCCCGGCCTGGGAAGTGCTCTGGGTGCAGCGAGCCCCCTGTCTCTTTTTGACCGATCAGGACAGAGTCCCGCTGTGGTGGGCACTTGCTGTTTGGTGTTTCTGACTCTGCCCCGGTTTCCGAGGCCCAGAGGTGTAGACGAGGGAGCTGACAGGTAGATGTAGGAAGGGGCTGTTTTTCAAGGTCTTGATATTTCGCGCTGGAAAAGCAACTTTACGTAGGGGCTGGTGAAATTGTGTTTACCTGAAGACAATTACAGAAGCGGTGCTCGCTCATGCAAAAGTTGAGCACGAGGCTGCCGTCCGCCCTGGCCCCCTGCACGGAGCGTCCTTCCTCCGCTCCCCCGGAAGGGCCCGCTGCCCGCGGCCCATGGCGGATGCTCGAGCTCCTCATGTCCCACAGACAAATGGCACAGCCAACGTGGGGCGTGTTTCGTTTTACCAGTTCATTGTTCTTGACTTTTATGTCTCCTTGGCCAAATGGGAAATGGGGGCTTGTCATTGCCTTGTCCCAGCTGTGGGTAGTGGTGTCCCCGTTGGGTGTCAGGCCCCTGCTCCCCGGCCAGGGGTGTGGGGGAGCAGGTTGCGGGGGCGGGGGGTGGTGGTGGTGAGTGCCACTGTCACTTACCAGCCCGTGGCCTCCGCACACCCATAGCTCCTGAGAAGTTGGGTGTAGGACGCCCCCAAGTCCGTGGGTCCCGCCACCACCTTCTCTACTCACGGCCGGGCGTCTTGGCTGAGCATGGCACGTGAAAGCGCTATTTTGTAAAGGGATCAACCCCGGGTGAATCAGAGTTTCTCTTGCAATGTGTCCTCAGGTGGGGGGTGCCGGGTGTTAACGTCTGTGGGCATCAGAGGAGGGGGGCACGCGCCACGGGATCTCTCTACTGTTGCTCTAGGACCTCGTGTTTTGGAACCACTGCATCGGGCAGGACGCTTCCAGCAACCAGGTCCTCCTCCTCTTAGGCTCTAACCACTGCCCTGCCCGGGTTTCAGGCACGTTGAACCCTCTGTCTGCTCTGTCCTGTTGTGCTCTGCAAACTGCTGGAGGGGGAAAATCTGTAATTGCACTCGGGGCCACCAGCAAAGGTTGTAAAGAAATACAGATGCGTGGTTTCGAGGACATCCCCCTCCCTTCCTCAGCGCGCTCCGTACCATCAGCCTGTATCTTTCTCATGTCCCTGACTCAGCCCTGACAAGGGACGTGTGACTGGCACTTGAGCTAATGATGAGCCCACCGTGGGGCTGGAGTACACAGTCCCGTCATCTAGATGGGAATGGGGATCCTGGTCCCCCTTTGTGCTCACCCTCCTGACTCGAGTTCAGTGTCTAGTCTCCCCGCGGGCCTGCCCTCCTCTCCGGGTGCCCTGAACTTGACCTTCTCCTGCCACCCTTGAAGACCACCGTGTGCCTAGTCATGGTCCTGGCAGACATCTGCTCGCTCAGCGACCCCCACCCCCACGTCCTGCCTGGAGAGCAAGGTCTTCATCGCTTGGAGCAGCGTGAGGTGGCAGAGCCCAAGATGGGGGCCCGACGCACGGCCCGCCCAGCCGTAGCTCGGTCGGAGCACCGTGGCCTTGGGGCACACTGACAGCAGCGGGGCGGGCTTCTCCTTCCAGTGCTCCTTCCCAACTCGCTGGACGCCCACTGGGGGTTCGCGAACTCCTATCTGTCCTGACACCGACCCCCCAGAGGCAGTGTAGGCCCCGCAGGCTGAGGGCACAGCCCCACACGACTGCCCCCCCTTCAGATGCCAGCCCCAAGGCTGGGCCCCCTGGTCTTCAGACCCACCAGCCGTAACGTCAGGGGGTTCCTGCCCCTCCTCAGGTTTGATAACTTGCTAGGACAAGACAAGGAACTCAGGAAAACACTTATTTCCTATTACTGGCTTGTGGTACAGGAAACAAGTCAAGAATAGGCGGGTGGGAGGGAGGCCTCCCGTGGGGTCTGGGGGAGGGGCCCTGAGCTACGGGCACTTCCTTGCATAGACCATCCCAGGAGCTCTGCAAACGCTGTTGCTTGTTTGTTTGTTTTTTTAAAAGATTTTATTTATTTGTTTGACAGAGAGATCACAAGCAGGCAGAGAGGCGGGGGGTGGGGGGGGAACAGGCTCCCTGCTGAGCAGGGAGCCTGATGCGGGGACCCTGAGACCATGACCTAAGCCGAAGGCAAGAGGCTTAATCCAGGGAACCACCCCAGTGCCCCTGCTTGGGGGGGGTTTATGGAGCTTTCATGACCCAGGTTGGGTAAATGACTGCCTTTGGTGGTTGAACTCAATCTCCAGCCCCTCTCCCCTCCCTGGAGGCCAGGGGTGGGCCTGAGAATTCCAACCGCCACCCCCCCGACATCATGGCTGGAGTTGGGGGTAACCAGCCCCCATCCTGAAGCACACACAGCCCCCAACCACCAGTCATCTCCTTAGCACACAGAAAACCCTCTTATCCTTTGGGCAATCCGCTGGTGTTAGGAGCCGTGAACCCGAAACTGGGGATGAAGCCCCATTACTGACCCCAAGCAGGTGTTGTGGGTCGTGGATTTTCCTGCGGGGAGTCCGTGCTTGTCCCACAGGACATCCTCTCGGGCATAGACTGGACTCATCCCTGTCACCTGGCCTCCATGTTTGTGGGCACAGCTGGCCCAGGCGGGAGGCAGGACCCGGGAATTCCCAGCGAGATACTGCGCACTGAAGCCCTCACCTTTACGCTTCTCTCCAGGGGCTCCTCTGCCTTCTCTTCCAGTCACAACCTGCTCTGAATGGATTCCTTCCTCCCAGACTGTAATTACCCTCTTACACAAGAGCAACGAGTTTCTACCCACGTTCTCTTTCTGCACGTCCTGGGAGAGGCTCGCTGCGGAACTTCTGACCCAGAAAAGGCAGGCCTCTGTCTCTGTGTCGCAGTTGGCCTGAGAGCGAGCCCTTGCTCCATAGGGCGTCCCAGGAGCCCGATCACGGCATGGCCGTGGGTTCAGAAACTGCACGCTTGGTTGCATGGAGACGAGAGGTGTGCAAGGAGCACGTGGGGACTCACCCCGTCTGAGGCAGGGTTTTGGGGGTTGCGCTGGGACCCCCGCTGAGAAGGCCGTGCATTTCCTTTAGGGAGCACGGTGTGTCTCCTTGGACGCGGCGTTGCTTCGGAAAGCTTGCCGGTGGAAACG